TTCCCCTTTAGAATGGTTTTGCTTTAGAAGGACCAAGACTCATTTCTGTATTTTAAAAAACTCATTTTCCCTTCATATGAACGTAGGCAGCAAAGTGCTTTTTGCCACTGGTCTCCACGCCCTTTCCTATGCGAGTTTTCCTGTGCTGTCCGTTCAGAGCAGGCGGTTTTTGTCGAGGGCAAAGGAGTTGGGGTTTTTGCAGGCTTCTGTGCTTTGGAGGTAAGTATGTTTGTATTCTGTTATTCGCAGTGAAAGCTGATAATTAGCAGACATGATGATATGACAGGAAAGTTCTAGAAACTTCAGGTTATCCTAGTAAGTATACATTCTTCAGAAACATGGTAACTGTTTTCAGAGTCACTTATTGATCAGTATTTTCTTTCTCACCCTCTTTGTATGAGACACATTCATGCTGGGGCGGGGGGAGGGAAGGACAGAATACCTGTTTCTAAAATGTTTGTCCTCACCCTGTAAAAGGAAGTCATTTGAGTCTGATGAATACCTTTTAGCATTTATACAGTCAGTCTCCATAAAAATTCAAATAAAATGTAAAACTGGAGAACTTCATCCCCCCCCCCCCCAATCTTCTCTCCTCATTTTCCTACTCCCCAAATGAAAGGCAATTAGAGGCTCTCTTCCAAGAATGACAACCCTGTCCAGGCAAACCAATGGACCAGGTAGTGAACAGGAAAGACCACTTGTCCCACCTGTGGATTCCGTTCCCTAAATAAGCTGATTTTAAAAAGATTATGTACATGTACTCACATATACATATACATTCGCACTCACTAAAGAGCACAACTCATGCATGCACAGCTCAGTGAATTTTCATAACGTGAACACACTCCTGTAACAGCTGCGGCTAAGGAGACAGGCCGCTACTCAGAACACCCCTTGCACCCCCCTTCGCTACCCCCCACCCCCCTTAACTAGACCTGACTGCCAACAGCAGAGATTCCTTGGGCCTGATTGTGAACAGATGCATCAAGCAGCAGGTGCTCCCTGGTGGCGGGCTTTACCGGCTCCATGTTCTGTTTGTAAGCTTAGACCACGTTGCATGTGTATTACGCAGGGTGGGGCCAAAGTCAGTTTACCGTTGTTCATATGGAAAATAATCATAATAATAAAAGGTCAGGTGACGTCACGACCAAAACAACCAAACGACCGTGGGCGGTTGGGCAGGGCCACACGATTTCGAGCGCTGGGCCTCTAGTAAATAAATACTAATAAAAGCATGAACTCTGTATCTAAAAGTGTACCCGCAGCTGTAAACCTACTTTTACCCCACCCTGTAGTTTGCTCGTCCCTGTGGCCACATGTAGACGTTGTATGACATGTCATCTCTCGTTCCATTCTCCTCTTGCTGGACCCTGGGGCTGTCTCCAGGTTTGGCTCTGGGATTAGTGCTGCTGTGAACGTATCTTGGAGTCCATGTACTGTGTGGTTTGGCTGGGCCCTGCGGTGTATTTGTGTAAGCTTGAGTAGAAATTGATAATGTTCCAACGTGTTAGTACTCAGTGGTGTGTCCCCATCGGGGACAGTTCCTGTCACTCCATATCCTCACTGACACTTGGTATCGTCTGTCTCCTTTCATTTCTGCCGTCCTCATGGGAACAGAGTAGTATCGCAAGACATGCATTCTTTTCCTTATGATTTGTGTGAGAGAGGCTTCCTTTTTCTTGACCTGAGGTTAAGTTTTCTTTCTTTTTTTAAAAATATATTTTATTGATTTTTTACAGAGAGGAAGGGAGAGGGATAGAGAGTTAGAAACATCGATGAGAGAGAAACATTGATCAGCTGCCTCCCGCACACCTCCTACTGGGGATGTGCCCACAACCAAGGTACATGCCCTTGACCAGAATCGAACCTGGGACCCTTCAGTCCGCAGGCCGACGCTCTATCCACTGAGCCAAACCGGTTAGGGCCTGAGGTTAAGTTTTGAGATACAGGTTAGCCAAATCATGTGAAACCTGAAGGTAAGCCAGGCAAAATAATCACACCTCAGCAGCCAGCACCCTGTCCTTGAGGAGTTTAATTAAAGGGAAACAGTAAAAAACTGTAGTTTATTTATACTCTCAACATTTATGTGTGTTTATATTTCTTAATTATATACAATTTTATGTATCAAATTTTAATGTAGTATATATTTTTATATTTATTTGTACTTTATAAGTATAAAATATAGAAGTTACATGTGTGCATGTGTATTAAAGAAAAACTGGAGAACAGAGAAAAGCGCTGAATATAATCCTGGCGTTAACTTTCCCTTCAAAGAAACCGCAACTGCCCTGGCTTGGAGCATCGTCCCAATAGGCAGAGGTTGTGGTTTGATTCCTGGTCAGGGCACATAAATACGTGGAATAACAAATTGATGTCTCCCCCTCACCCCATCCTTTCCCTCCCTCTCTCTCATCAATAATAACAAGCCCTGGCCGGTTTGGCTCAGTGGATAGAGCTTTGGCCTGTGGACTGAAGCGTCCAGGGTTCAGTTCTGGCCAAGGGCACATGCCCAGGTTGCGGTCTCGATCCCAGTGGGGGTGTGCAGGAGGCAGCTGATCAATGATTTTCTCTCATCATTGATGTTCCTTCTCCCTCTCTTTTCCACTCTGAAATCAATACAAATATATTAAAAAAGAAAAAGACAACCACAACTAACACAAACTCTTTAGCGGATGCTGTGTTTCTGGGCCTACATTGTCTTGTGAATGATAACCATGTAGCGTGTGTGTTTTTATTTCCTACCTTTTCCACTTAGCATTGTAACACAGGGCCTTTTCTGTATCACCACGTCCTTTGTAAACGACACTTTAAATGGCAACAGAGTATTTCTTTGAAAAGACTTCGCTAATTTACTTAACCCGGGCCCTATATTTTCACAAATTGATTCCTGTTTTCATTTTTAAAATAATGTTTCCATTCTGAAGGCTGGTTCTCCAAAGCAGAGTCACCCCAAAGACACACAGGGGAATGCAGACCCCAAGACCCCAGCACGCACCTATTTGGGGTGGGAAGAGCGCCATCTGCAGTGGGACTCTCACCAAACAGGTCCGCTCATGGCTCCGCAGAACAGCACATAAAAATAGCGCCTTCCTCTGTCTTATTTACATGTTCCAGAGCTCGGCACGGATTCTGGCACGTAGTAGGTACTCAATAAATACTTGAATGATGAAGAATAGGAGCCACAGTTTCAGTCAGGTCTGCCTGCTCCCAGTGCCCTTAGTTTTATTTGAAAACATTAAAATCCCCAAGGGACTCCGGGTTCCTAATTCATGTGGGGTGTGGATGGTGTTCGGGGCACACGGCGGGCTCTCAGTGCAGGTGTGGGCGGAGTGTTGGGGCCAGAAGGCAGAGAAGCAATGGAACAACCTTCTGCACAGTAAGAAAAGGGAGGCCTCTCCCCGCTCCCTCCCTTCCTCCCTCTCCTCCATCCTTCCCCTCCCTCCCCCTTTCTCATTCACTCCGCATGTTGCTTTAAGGAATTAGCCACAGAAGCAGCTTGTCCCAGGCCTGGGTCACAGATCTCAAGTTGATCCCAGATTTGCTGCTTGGCTGTAGCTGCCCCTGTTTCAGTCCTCAGGGCTCCCAGCAACTTCTGCTGCATCACCAAGATTTCTAACATCTTCAGGCAGTGGAGACTGGGGCTGGGCCTTTGTCGGGTAGTCAGGAACAACCCCCTCAGGAGCAGTGGGCTGTTTTGTGCCAAATGATGGCACCAGCAGCTTGGGGGACCAGGGCAAGCCAGACGATGCCCTGCCAAGCAGAGAGGCCCGGGGTGGCCCAGGAGGGACCCGCCCACTCGGAGCTGCGCCTGAGCACTCTCCCCAGCTGTGGGGCTCTGCAGCGACTTTCAAGCTCTAGAGTTTTATTTTTCCACGATGAAAGTAATAATTTCTTTTTAAAAAAGTAGTGGTTCCTGTTATAGAAAACTTAAAGATGCAGCAGCTAGAATTATTGAAAGCCCTCTGTCCTCTTGTTAACATTGAGGTATGTTACCTCCTATCTGTATTTTTATCGAATGCCTATGAATGACATGATTTCAGTTCATTTTTTAAAAATATATTTTATTGATTCTTTACAGAGAGGAAGGGAGAGAGATAGAGAGTTAGAAACATCGATCAGCTGCCTCCTGCACATCTCCCACTGGGGATGTGCCCGCAACCCAGGCACATGCCCCTGACTGGAATCGAACCCGGGACCCTTCAGTCCGCAGGCCGACACTCCATCCACTGAGCCAAACCGGTTTCGGCATCAGTTCATCTTTGCCATTATAAGTTAGAACTTAGTCTAGAGAAGATTTCTTTTTTTTTTTTTTTAAATTTTTATTGATTTCAGAGAGGAAGGGAGAGGGAGAGAGAGAGGTAGAAACATCAGTGATGAGAAAGAATCACTGATTGGCTGCTTCCTGCATACCCCACACTGGAGATCAAGCCCGCAACCTGGGTATGCGCCCTGACCGGGAATCAAACCGTGACCTTCTGGTTCATAGGTTGATGCTCAACCGCTGAGCCATGCTGGCCGGGCTAGAGAGGATGTCTTGATGCGTGAACTTTATTCCTTTTGAGGATTTTCATAGGCTAGACTCTAAGGCCAGTGGGTTAAATGGACCACGGGGCGTTCTAGGGCTTTCCGCAAGGCCTCCCTCGTTTTACTCCCTGTGAGACCCAGAGTCGCCCCACGTTCCAGGGTTAGGATGTGGGCGATGCCCCCACCAGCCATTTTAGTTTTGCTTATGCTCAGTGCATGCCCACAACATTGGGAACGTCTGAGAGAGAGAAAGAAGTAAAAACATGTGCTTTCCTTCCTCTGTCCACCACTGGGCTTCCTGCTTATTAATGAGCGAGGTGGTGGGGGTGGACTCAGGCGCCCGTGGTCGACTGAGGACACAATACATGCTCTGTGGATGGGCCCGGTGACCTTAGCCCCTCGTGGTGGTGTGTGTTGGTAGTTACGCAAGACGTGTTTGAGAGGCTGAGCCTTCTTTGTTGAATGAATAGAAGAAAGTCTGCACGTCGTTTCTCATGATAAAGCTGTGTGCAGACCGCAGGGCCACAAGCAGACTGTCCGCCTTCCCTGCCAAGGGTGGAGGCGGGCAGCACGGTGGTGGGAGCCCAGGGTGGCATCCCCTGCGGCACCAGCATCAGAAAAGGTGGGACCATGCTACCTGGTGAGTGCCCGGCCTGTGAGCTGTCATTGCCCAGACCCCCAGCACCTTCCTAGGAAACACCTCCCATGGCCGTCCTGGGGCTGTCTCAGCGCCAAAGCCACACCCGAGGTGGGACACGTGGGGCTGTGGCGCTGCCCGGGTCTCCATGGGAACGGGGAGGAGCCGGATCTGGGAAGGAAAAAGGTTATTACTAACACGGTGGCTCCCCAAGGCCAGGGTAGGCTGCTGCGGCGCTGAGGGGTTGAGAATGTGGATTTAAGCAGGACTGCCGGCCTCTTCTGTTGTACGACCGGCTGTAGGACCCTGGGCATGTGAGTGCACTTCTCTGACGTGGGCATGGTTATGGTGCTCAGCACTTTCGGGACTCGATGAGTTAGTGCGTGTAGAGTGCGGAGATCCCAAAGCCGTGGCCCACGTGGCCTACGTGGCCCACGGAAAGCACCGTCGCAGTGTTAGCCGTTGCTAAGGCTACCGGTGGGGTTGGGGGAGGAGCCAGGTGTCACTGGGACCCTTGCTGTGTCCCTGTCATTGGATTTTCTCTAGGTGGCTGTCTAGATGATCCAGGGGCGGCTTTCATAGTCTACCGTGGGCTGAGGTCTCCAAAGGCTGTGGTTCAGGCCGCTGGGGCAGCTGTAGGACAGTCTGAGGCGATTTCTCCATCTGTGAGCACCGCCTGTAGG